CCGTACCCTACCCGATACCCGTACCCTACCCGAATACCGTTTACCCTACCCGATACACCGTACCCTATCCGCTACCCGGTCTACCCGTTACCCGGCCGGGTACGAGTACGGGTAGGCCGTGAGTCACTGGTGAGTCACCGTTTGTCACTCATTTCCCAACGTCTTGTCTCTTCTCACAATTCAAGTTCCTAGAATCAACCCACCCGCGCCTGCAACGTGGCTTCATCCCAGAGGTCGCAATCGGGTACCCGATACCCGTACGGGTAGGGTACGGGTACGGCTGGGTACGGGTACGGCTACCCGTTTGCGACCCTGGTGCGGCCGGGTACGGGTAAGGAATCAAAACCCGTTTGCGACCTCTGGGGAGGATGTAGAGCTCTGAGGTGCAGCCACAAGTCCCTCCCTCGGTAGATCTGCGCTGCTGCCTCTTCAAGATAACACAGGAGTTTCGATTTAAAGCTTTCGTGACTGCAGGGATTCATCTTCTTGGTTCTTTCGGTAAAGTCACGTAGAAGGAAAATAATAAAAATAAAACATAATAAAATAATTCTCACGACGTTTCGGCCACAACGCAAGCAGCCGTCCTCAGGTGAAGAACAGGTTTGTCGAGAAGACAGCGTCTGAATGACTGAATGACTGCCTTCTCGACAGACCTGTTCTCACCTGAAGACGGCTGCTTGCGTTGTGGCCAAAACGTCGTGAGAATTGTATTTAATAATGTTAAAATTTTATTATTTTATTATTTCCCTTCTACGTGATGACTCTACCGAAAGAACCAAGAAGAACGTCCTTCCTTTTCGCACCGGCAAGGGAACACGAAGTCGCTCACGGTGGAGTTGAAACGCCCCGAGGAGTCACTCACCTATGGGAACCTCATTTGCCAGTAAAAATATGATAATTGGTTCTTTACCCTTCTATCTGGCAACAAAACTGACACCTTTTTGCAAGGAGTCATGTTTGCATAGACCGCAATACCTGCAGTCATAATACAAACAAAAGAACATAACTCTGATAATGTATGCACTGTCCTTGAAGTTGATTGGTCCACACCCGAGACAGCTTTCCTTAGAGCCTAGTCTCACGTGGTGTTGGACCAGATGACGCCAAAAGGCGCACAACTCAAAGACAACGCACCATCAGAGTATGTGAGACCAGGCTCTAAGGAAAGCTGTCTTGGGTGTGGACCAATCAACTTCAAGGACAGTGCATATATTATCAGAGTTGTGTTTTTTGTTTGCATTACGACTGCAGGTATTGTGGTCTATGCAAACATGACTCCTTGTAAAAAGGTGTCAGTTTTGTTGCCAGATAGAAGGGTAAAAAAACAATTATCACCCCTGGTGCGTTTGTTTGCCCTCCCGTAACACCTCTACACCGGCACGGGAGCTGCCCATGGCAACACGAAGTCGCTCACGGTGGAGTTTAAACGCCCCGAGGAGTCACTCACCGTCGTCTGCGCGTCCGTCTCCCCGTCCGCGTTGGCCGGCAGCGTCCACCCCATCGCCACGAACCGCTGGGCCGAGAGTTGGTACGAGATGGTGTTGGAGAGGCTGGCAACTGCACAGACAGTGGGTGTTGGTGCTGGGTGTTAGTACTGGGTGTTGGTGGTGTTAGTACTGGGTGTTAGTACTGAGTGTTAGTGGTGTTAGTGCTGAGAGCTGGTACGAGATGGTGTTGGAGAGGCTGGCAACTGCACAGAGAGTGGGTGTTAGTGCTGGGTGTTAGTGGTGTTAGTGCTGGGTGTTAGTGCTGGGTGTTAGTGGTGTTAGTGCTGGGTGTTAGTGCTGGGTGTTAGTGGTGTTAGTGCTGGGTGTCAGTACTGAGTGTTAGTGGTGTTAGTGCTGAGAGCTGGTACGAGATGGTGTTGGAGAGGCTGGCAACTGCACAGAGAGTGGGTGTTGGTGCTGGGTGTTAGTACTGGGTGTTGGTGGTGTTAGTACTGGGTGTTAGTGCTGGGTGTTAGTGGTGTTAGTGCCGAGAGTTGGTACGAGATGGTGTTGGAGAGGCTGGCAACTGCACAGAGAGTGGGTGTTGGTGCTGGGTGTTAGTACTGGGTGTTGGTGGTGTTAGTACTGGGTGTTGGTGCTGGGTGTTGGTGCTGAGTGTTAGTGCTGGGTGTTAGTGCTGGGTGTTAGTGGTGTTAGTGCCGAGAGTTGGTACGAGATGGTGTTGGAGAGGCTGGCAACTGCACAGAGAGTGGGTGTTAGTGCTGGGTGTTAGTGGTGTTAGTGCTGGGTGTTAGTGCTGGGTGTTAGTGGTGTTAGTGCTGGGTGTTAGTGCTGGGTGTTAGTGGTGTTAGTGCTGGGTGTCAGTACTGAGTGTTAGTGGTGTTAGTGCTGAGAGCTGGTACGAGATGGTGTTGGAGAGGCTGGCAACTGCACAGACAGTGGGTGTTGGTGCTGGGTGTTAGTGGTGTTAGTGCTGGGTGTTAGTGCTTGGTGTTAGTGCTGAGTGTTAGTGGTGTTAGTGCTGGGTGTTAGTGGTGTTAGTGCTGAGTGTTAGTGCTGAGTGTTAGTGCTGAGTGTTAGTTGTGTTAGTGGTGTTAGTGCTGAGTGTTAGTACTGAGTGTTAGTACTGGGTGTTAGTTGTGTTAGTGGTGTTAGTGCTGAGTGTTAGTACTGGGTGTTAGTACTGAGTGTTAGTGCTGGGTGTTAGTACTGAGTGTTAGTGCTGGGTGTTAGTGGTGTTAGTACTGAGTGTTAGTACTGGGTGTTAGTACTGAGTGTTAGTGCTGGGTGTTAGTGGTGTTAGTACTGAGTGTTAGTGCTGAGTGTTAGTGCTGAGTGTTAGTGGTGTTAGTACTGAGTGTTAGTACTGAGTGTTAGTACTGGGTGTTGGTGGTGTTAGTACTGAGTGTTAGTGATGTTAGTGCTGAGTGTTAGTACTGGGTGTTAGTACTGAGTGTTAGTGTTGTTAGTACTGAGTGTTGGTGGTGTTAGTGCTGAGTGTTAGTGGTGTTAGTGGTGTTAGTACTGGGTGTTGGTGCTGAGTGCTAGTGGTGTTAGTGCTGGGTGTTGGTGCTGGGTGTTGGTGCGCCCCTCACACGAGAGGCGTTGACCGTCGCTCTGCGCCGTGGCCGCTCTCTTCCTGCGCAAGGCCCGAGCCCTCAAACTACGTACGACACAAAGACAAAGGTCCCCCGTGTAGCCTCTAGCAGACAGTAGGGGCAAGTGCTGTTAGTAGCAGCAGCACCTATACACAGACAAAGGTCCCCCGTGTAGCCTCTAACAGGCTGTAGGGGCAAGTGCTGTGAGTAGCGAGTAGCAGCAGCACCTATGAAGGTAGACACAGACAAAGATCCCCCGTGTAGCCTCTAACAGGCTGTAGGGGCAAGTGCTGTGAGTAGCGAGTAGCAGCAGCACCTATGAAGGTAGACACAGACAAAGAGGTAGTGGTGGTGGTAGTGGTGGTAGTAATGGTGGTGGTGGTAGTAGTGGTAGTAATGGTGGTGGTTGTGGTAGTAGTGGTAGTGGTGGTGGTGGTTTTGGTAGTAGTGGTGGTGGTGGCTGTGGTAGTGGTGGTAGTGGTGGTAGTGGTAGTAGTGGTGGTAGTAGTGGTAGTAGTAGTGGTGGTGGTGGTAGTAGTGGTGGTGGTAGTGGTGGTGGTAGTGGTAGTAGTAGTAGTGGTAGTAGTAGTGATGGTAGTGGTGGTAGTAGTGGTGGTGGTAGTGGTAGTAGTGGTGGTGGTAGTGGTGGTGGTGGTGGCTGTGGTAGTAGTGGTGGTGGTGGTGCTGGTGGTGGTAGTAGTGGTGGTTGCGATAGTGGTGGTAGTGGTGGTGGTAGTAGTGGTAGTAGTGATGGTGGTAGTGGTGGTAGTAGTAGTAGTAGTGGTGGTGGTAGTAGTGGTAGTAGTGGTGGTGGTAGTGGTGGTAGCGTGTGATAGTGGTAGTGGTGGTAGTAATGGTAGTAGTAGTGGTGGTGGTAGTAGTGGTAGTGGTGGTAGTGGTGGTGGTAGTGGTGGTGGTAGTGGTGGTACTAGTGGTAGTGGCTATGGTAGTAGTGGTGGTAGTAGTAGTGGTAGTAGTGGTGGTAGTAGTAGTGGTGGTGGTAGTGGTAGTAGTAGTAGTGGTGGTAGTAGTAGTGGTGGTAGTAGTAGTGGTGGCTGTGGTGGTGGTAGTAGTGGTAGTAGTAGTGGTAGTAGTAGTGGTAGTAGTGGTAGTAGTGGTGGTAGTAGTGGTAGTAGTGGTAGTAGTAGTGGTAGTAGTGGTAGTAGTAGTGGTAGTGCTGGTGTTGGCTGTGGTAGTGATGATGGTAGTAGTAGTAGTAATGGTGTTGGCTGTGGTAGTAGTGGTGGTAGTAGTGGTAGTAGTGGTAGTAGTAGTGGTAGTAGTGGTAGTAGTAGTAGTGGTAGTAGTAGTAGTAATGGTGTTGGCTGTGGTAGTAGTAGTAGTAGTGGTGGTAGTAGTGGTAGTGGTGGCTGTGGTAGTGGTAGTAGTAGTAGTGGTGGTAGTAGTGGTGGTAGTGGTAGTAGTAGTAGTGGTGGTAGTAGTGGCTGTGGTAGTAGTGGAAGTGGTAGTAGCGTGTGGTAGTAGTAGTAGTGGTAGTAGTAGTAGTAGTGGTGGTGGTGGTGGCTGTAATAGTAGTGGTAGTAGTGGTAGTAGCGTGTGGTAGTGGTGGTAGTGGTGGTGGTGGTGGCTGTAGTAGTGGTGGTAGTGGTAGTAGTAATAGTAGCGTGTGGTAGTAGTAGTGGTAGTAGTGGTAATAGTAGTGATAGTGGTGGTGGTAGTGGTTGTGGTAGTAGTGGTGGTAGTGGTAGTAGTAGTAGTGGCTGTGGTAGTAGTGGTGGTGGTAGTAGTGGTGGTAGTAGTGATAGTGGTGGTGGTAGTGGTTGTGGTAGTAGTGGTGGTAGTAGTAGTAGTAGTGGTGGCTGTGGTAGTAGTGGTGGTAGTAGTAGTGGTAGTAGTGGTAGTGTGTGGTAGTAGTGGTAGTAGTAGTAGTGGTAGTAGTAGTAGTGGTAGTAGTGGTAGTAGTGATGGTAGTGGTAGTAGTGATGGTAGTGGTAGTAGTGATGGTAGTGGTAGTGGTAGTAGTGGTAGTAGTAGTGGTAGTAGTGATGGTAGTGGTAGTGGTAGTAGTGGTAGTAGCAGTAGTAGTAGTGGTAGTAGTGGTAGTAGTGGTGGTGGCTGTGGTAGTAGTGGTAGTAGTGGTAGTAGTGGTAGTAGCAGTAGTAGTAGTGGTAGTAGCGTGTGGTAGTGATGGTAGTGGTGGTAGTGGTAGTAGTGGTAGTAGTAGTGGTAGTAGTGATGGTAGTGGTAGTGGTAGTAGTGGTAGTAGTGGTGGTAGTAGTGATGGTAGTGGTAGTAGTGGTAGTGGTAGTAGTGGCTGTGGTGGTAGTAGTGGTAGTAGTGGTAGTAGTAGTAGTGGTGGTGGTAGTAGCGTGTGGTAGTGATGGTAGTGGTGGTAGTGGTAGTAGTGGTAGTAGTAGTGGTAGTAGTGGTAGTGATGGTAGTGGTGGTAGTGGTAGTAGTAGTAGTGATGGTAGTAGTAGTAGTAGTGGCTGTGGTAGTAGCAGTAGTAGTAGTGGTAGTAGTGGTAGTGGCTGTGGTAGTGATGATGGTAGTGATGATGGTAGTGATGGTAGTAGTAGTGGTAGTAGCGTGTGGTAGTAGTAGTGGTAGTAGTAGTAGTGGTAGTAGTGGCTGTGGTAGTGATGATGGTAGTGATGATGGTAGTAGTAGTAGTGGTAATAGTAGTAGCGTGTGGTAGTAGTGGTAGTAGTAGTAGTGGCTGTGGTAGTCACCGCAATGCCGCTCGGTCTCGCGCCTCCACGCGCCGCTCCTCCCCGCCGTGGGGTCCGTGGGGCAGCGTGGAGACCCCCCGGGGGGCCGCCCCCCACAGCAGCTGCTCCAGACGCCGCAGCAGAGACAGCAACTCCCCCGGCAGGACACAGCACCCGGCGCAGTAGCCACCCTGGGCGGGTAGGGTGGGTGGGGTGGGTGGGGTGGGGTGGGTGAGGTGGGGTGGGTGGGGTGGGGTGGGTGGGTGGGGTGGGTAGGGTGGGTAGGGTGGGTGGGGTGGGTGGGGTGGGGTGGGTGAGGTGGGGTGGGTGGGGTGGGGTGGGTGGGTGGAGTGGGTGGGGTGGGTGGGTGAGGTGGGTGGAGTGGGGTGAGGTGGGTGGGGTGGGGTGGGTGGGGTGGGTTGGTGGGTGGGTGAGGTGGGGTGGGGTGAGGTGAGGTGGGTTGGGGTGGGGTGGGGCGGGTGGGGTGGGGTGGGTGGGGTGGGTGGGTGGGTGAGGTGGGGTGGGGTGAGGTGGGTGGGTGGGGTGGGGTGGGTGGGGTGGGTGGGGTGGGTGGGTGAGTTGGGGTGAGGTGGGGTGGGGTGAGGGTGGAGGTGGTAATGACAGCCACTCACCCCGCTTGTCCTGACGTCCTCCCCCTCCACCTCCACCTCCCCCTCCACCTCCCCCTCCACCTCCCCCTCCACCTCCACTTCCCCCTCCACCTCCCCCTCCACCTCCACCTCCCCCTCCAGGCTGCCCGTGGGGAGACGTCGCCCGCATAGGTCGCAGATCGGTGGCTAAAGCACAGCGAGTTGGCACATTAGGGGGCACAGGTGGTGCATCAGCCAGTCATCTCAGTCATCTCGGTCATCTCAGTCATCTCAGAGCGCCGGGTGGCTAAAGCACAGCAAGTTGGCACAGTAGGGGGCACAGGTGGTGCATCAGCCAGTCATCTCAGTCATCTCAGTCATCTCGGTCATCTCGGTCATCTCGGTCATCTCAGTCATCTCAGTCATCTCAGAGCGCCGGGTGGCTAAGGCACAGCAAGTTGGCACAGTAGGGGGCACAGGTGGTGCATCAGCCAGTCATCTCGGTCATCTCGTCATCTCAGTCATCTCAGAGCGCCGGGTGGCTAAGGCACAGCGAGTTGGCACAGTAGGGGGCACAGGTGGTGCATCAGCCACTCATCTCGGTCATCTCGGTCATCTCGGTCATCTCGGTCATCTCAGAGCGCTGGGTGGCTAAGGCACAGCGAGTTGGCACAGTAGGGGGCACAGGTGGTGCATCAGCCAGTCGTCTCGGTCATCTCGGTCAGTCGACCCGTGGCACCTGCTGGGTCTGCCCCGTGACCTCCTGCCAGCGGGCGTTCGACACTTCACGTGGCCTCAACGTGCACATGGCCTGGCACAAGCGTCACGGTGACATCACCGCCACTTAATGGCGAATGGCGGTTGTTGTTGTTGTTGAGTATGTCTGTCTGTATATCTCTATGCCTGTGTGTGTCTCTCTGTGTCTCTCTGTGTGTCTCTGTCTGTATATCTCATGTCTGTGTGTGTGTCTGTATGTGTGGGGCCTTACCATCAGCCGCACCAAAACTAAGCACCTGCCTGGGTATTTTGTACCATCGGACACTCCACCCCCACAACTCCCAATTGGTGATGGGGCAGTAGTGGAGAGAGTGGAGAGTTTCCCATACTTGGGCAGTTTGCTTATGTCCGGCTCCAGTTTAACAGCAGAGGTCTCACTCCGAATCAGTCGAGCGGCAATATCTTTTCATCGGTTGCGTAACGCTGTGTGGAAGCTACCTGGTCTGTCGCTCCGCACGAAGCTTCAGGTCTTCTCGGCCACGGTCATTCCCTCCCTTCTCTACGCTTGCGAAACGTGGACCCCCCTAATGGAGCATCTTCGCCGGTTGAAAACATTTAGGCTGGCCTGCCTACGATCCATCCTGGGTTTAACCAGGCTGGATTGTGTGAGGAGCTCACAAATCCTTGAAAGATCTGGGCAAAGTCCCATCGGTGAGCTCCTCCGGCAGGCAAGGCTGCGTTGGCTGGGTCATGTAGCCCGCATGCCCAGCCACCGCATGCCTAAACAGCTTTTGTTTGGCCAGATCGAGGGGGCTAAACGGGCGCGGCACGGGCTAGAGAGGAGATGGAGTGATGTGGTACAGGAGGACGTGGAGCTGAGTGGACTTGCCGATGACTGGTACCAGCGGTGTCAAGATCGGCCTCAGTGGAGGAGGCTCGTAAAGGACGCTACTGGGCAGTTGGAGGCAGTCGCCCTCCAACAACAACGGAGGGCGGAGGAGCGACGCTCACAACAACGAGCGGAGCGCCGGGTGGCTAAAGCACAGCAAGTTGGTACAGTAGGGGGCAAAGGTGGTGCATCAGCCAGTCATCTCAGTCATCTCGGTCAGTCGACCCGTGGCACCTGCTGGGTCTGCCCCGTGACCTCCTGCCAGCGGGCGTTCGACACTTCACGTGGCCTCAAGGTGCACATGGCCTGGCACAAGCGTCGTGGTGACGTCACCGCAACTTAGTGGCGAATGGTGGTTGTTGTTGTTGTGCACTCTGACCCATGTTTGATCATCACTGAGCCTGCGTTGCTCCGTGCGCTCACGACGGAAGGGAAAGACTGCGGGTGGCCGGTGACGAGGCAGAGAAGACCCCAACTCCTTTCCAGCATGCACCCCGCCCTGGGCCTCCTGTAGGCAAGACAACCATACACATTGAAACTAATTCTACACACTTTTATTTCACTCACTCTGTCTGTTGTTGTTGTTGTTGTATCCTCAAATCTTGTAACTCAATTTTAACCCACTTCCCAATGTGCTATCGACTGCAAACTTGGTATACTTATGTCACACTGATGACAATACTATATTCTATCATAAAAAAATATCTAGTTATTTTTAAACAATCTTTTTTACATGTTATGTTTCGGTTTGGGTCTAATTGTCCACGCTTAACTGACATTGGCTGTAATTGGCCTCGGCCCCTTACGTTATGGCAAGCCTCGGGGCCACTTCCTGGAGTCGTGGAGTTCTGCCATTACGAGTACGGCACATTAAAGCGTGTTTGAAATAAAGTATTTTAAACATTACTTATTGAAACTTTATTTTATTAGACTTGGTGTAAGGCCCCCACTACTGTGCTGCTCCTGCTGCTGCCTGCATCTTTGTCAGAAGCTCCCTGCCAGTCACAAATGTTAGCTCCACCCAGTGGCTTATCGTCATCATCATGATCACGTGGAAATTCACAGCGGCGGTCAAAATACTGGAAATGCGCGACGTCGATTCGAAATGTGGAAGGAAAAACCGGAGGAACCGGAGAAAAATTCTCGCGACCGTCGAGAGAGGCACGCAAAGTCCAAATATACAGCAGCAGCAGCAGCAGGCGTCGTCAGGGTCGGGATGGAACCCACGACCTCCTGTAGACCAGGCGAGGTAGTCAACATCTCCTAGCCACCGTGGTGATGATGACAGAGAGAGACGCAGACTCCAAGTATACAACAGCAGGCATCGTCAGGGACGGAACCCACAACCTCCTGTAGACCAGGCGAGGCAGTTAACATCTCATAGCCACCGTGATGATGATGAGAGAGACGCAGACTCCAAATATACAGCAGCCTGCGTCGTCAGGGATGGAACCCATGACCTCCTGTAGACCAGGTGAGGCAGTTAAAATCTCCTATCCACCGTGATGGTGATGATGACAGAAAGACACACAGATTCCAAATCTACAGCAGCAGCAGCAGGCGCCGTCAGGGTTGGGATGAAACCCACGACCTCCTGTAGACCAGGCGAGGTAGTCAACATCTTATAGCCACCGTGATGATGATGAGAGAGACACAGACTCCACATATACAGCAGCAGCAGGTGTCATCAGGGTTGGGATCGAACCCACGACCTCCTGTAGACCAGGCGACGTAGTCAACATCTCCTCGCCACCGTGATGATGATGAGAGAGACACAGACCTCCTGTAGACCAGGCGAGGTAGTCAACATCTCATAGCCACCGTGATGATGATGAGAGAGACACAGACCTCCTGTAGACCAGGCGAGGTAGTCAACATCTCATAGCCACCGTGATGATGATGATGAGAGAGACACAGACCTCCTGTAGACCAGGCGAGGTAGTCAACATCTTATAGCCACCGTGATGATGATGAGAGAGACACAGACCTCCTGTAGACCAGGCGAGGTAGTCAACATCTTATAGCCACCGTGATGATGATGAGAGAGACACAAACCTCCTGTAGACCAGGCGAGGTAGTCAACATCTCCTAGCCACCGTGATGATGATGAGAGAGACACAGACCTCCTGTAGACCAGGCGAGGTAGTCAACATCTCATAGCCACCGTGATGATGATGAGAGAGACACAGACCTCCTGTAGACCAGGCGAGGTAGTCAACATCTCCTAGCCACCGTGATGATGATGATGATGAGAGACACAGACCTCCTGTAGACCAGGCGAGGTAGTTAACATCTCCTAGCCACCGTGATGATGAGAGAGACACAGACCTCCTGTAGACCAGGCGAGGTAGTTAACATCTCCTAGCCACCGTGATGATGAGAGAGACACAGACCTCCTGTAGACCAGGCGAGGTAGTCAACATCTCCTAGCCACCGTGATGATGATGAGAGAGACACAGACCTCCTGTAGACCAGGCGAGGTAGTCAACATCTTATAGCCACCGTGATGATGATGAGAGAGACACAGACCTCCTGTAGACCAGGCGAGGTAGTCAACATCTCATAGCCACCGTGATGATGATGAGAGAGACACAGACCTCCTGTAGACCAGGCGAGGTAGTCAACATCTCATAGCCACCGTGATGATGATGAGAGACACAGACCTCCTGTAGACCAGGCGAGGTAGTCAACATCTCCTAGCCACCGTGATGATGATGAGAGAGACACAGACCTCCTGTAGACCAGGCGAGGTAGTTAACATCTCCTAGCCACCGTGATGATGATGAGAGAGACACAGACCTCCTGTAGACCAGGCGAGGTAGTCAACATCTCATAGCCACCGTGATGATGATGAGAGAGACACAGACCTCCTGTAGACCAGGCGAGGTAGTCAACATCTCATAGCCACCGTGATGATGATGAGAGAGACACAGACCTCCTGTAGACCAGGCGAGGTAGTCAACATCTCATAGCCACCGTGATGATGATGAGAGACACAGACCTCCTGTAGACCAGGCGAGGTAGTCAACATCTCCTAGCCACCGTGATGATGATGAGAGAGACACAGACCTCCTGTAGACCAGGCGAGGTAGTTAACATCTCCTAGCCACCGTGATGATGATGAGAGAGACACAGACCTCCTGTAGACCAGGCGAGGTAGTCAACATCTCATAGCCACCGTGATGATGATGAGAGAGACACAGACCTCCTGTAGACCAGGCGAGGTAGTCAACATCTCATAGCCAGCGAGGCACCCATTGATTAACTGCGCATATTGACTGCACCACCACTCCCCACACACACACACACATCCCCCACTCCATACCGCATTGAGTACTCGTTTGAGGCTGAGTCGACCTAGGGGAGGCCGTGAAACCTCATTAACAGACCGTCAGGGGCAATCGCTGTTAGCGAGTAGCACCCTCAAATATGACGTCACAAAGCTCTGCCCCCCCCCCCCCCACCTCGTCACATGACGTCACAAAAAGATAGACCCCCCCCCTCAAATATGACGTCACAAAGCTCTGCCCCCCCCCCCACCTCGTCACATGACGTCACAAAAGTCAGACCCCCCCTCAAATATGACGTCACAAAGCTCTGCCCCCACCCCCCGCGTCACATGACGTCACAAAAAGTCAGACCCCCCCCTCAAATATGACGTCACAAAGCTCTGCCCCCCCCACCTCGTCACATGACGTCACAAAAAGTCAGACCCCCCCCCCCCTCAAATATGACGTCACAAAGCTCTGCCCCCCCCACCTCGTCACATGACGTCACAAAAAGTCAGACCCCCCCCCTCAAATATGACGTCACAAAGCTCTGCCCCCCCCCTCGTCACATGACGTCACAAAATGTCAGACCCCCCCCTCAAATATGACGTCACAAAGCTCTGCCCCCCCCCTCGTCACATGACGTCACAAAATGTCAGACCCCCCCCTCAAATATGACGTCACAAAGCTCTGCCCCCCCCTCGTCACATGACGTCACAAAATGTCAGACCCCCCCCTCAAATATGACGTCACAAAGCTCTGCCCCCCCCCTCGTCACATGACGTCACAAAAAGTCAGTCCCCCCCTCCCTCAAATATGACGTCACAAAGCTCTGCCCCCCCCCCACCTCGTCACATGACGTCACAAAATGTCAGACCCCCCCCCTCAAATATGACGTCACAAAGCTCTGCCCCCCCCCCCCACCTCGTCACATGACGTCACAAAAAGTCAGACCCCCCCCCTCAAATATGACGTCACAAAGCTCTGCCCCCCCCCCCACCTCGTCACATGACGTCACAAAATGTCAGACCCCCCCCCTCAAATATGACGTCACAAAGCTCTGCCCCCCCCCCTCGTCACATGACGTCACAAAAGTCAGACCCCCCCCTCCTCAAATATGACGTCACAAAGCTCTGCCCCTACCCCCAAAAAACATATTTATATTTTGAAAATAAAACATGTTTCAAATCGTTTTAAACTATTGTTGTCATTGTAGTGCGTATTTAATGTTGCCGATCATTGCTACAACTCGGTGGGCTCTCATGAAATTGTATTTTACGAGACCAAGGTTCTCTGCAAACCTCCTGGCTACCATCAAAGGTTTGTACACGAAGCCATACAAATATACAAACACAGACGTCATTTCAACCGTGATGACGGTTACAAACTGAGTAATCATTGGAAAGATGTGATTAACCATGCAAAAAAGATTTAACTACGCATATTTGGACCATCTTATTTGACAGACTACTATTACAGGTTACTGATAGACAGCCAGTTTTGTTTTACCAGGTTTATATATTTTTTTTTCACACTTTTGTTATGTAGGCTAGGCGTCACAAACCGTACCTCTCCATAACAAAGGCTCAGTCAGTCTTTTGTTATATAGTCTATTCTTAGTCTTAAGCCTCACCTTATGCAGTCTATTCTTAGTCTTCAGCCTCAGCTTATGCAGTCTATTCTTAGTCTTAAGCCTCACCTTATGCAGTCTATTCTTAGTCTTCAGCCTCACCTTATGCAGTCTATTCTTAGTCTTAAGCCTCACCTTATGCAGTCTATTCTTAGTCTTAAGCCTCACCTTATGCAGTCTATTCTTAGTCTTCAGCCTCACCTTATGCAGTCTATTCTTAGTCTTAAGCCTCACCTTATGCAGTCTATTCTTAGTCTTCAGCCTCAGCTTATGCAGTCTATTCTTAGTCTTAAGCCTCACCTTATGCAGTCTATTCTTAGTCTTCAGCCTCACCTTATGCAGTCTATTCTTAGTCTTAAGCCTCACCTTATGCAGTCTATTCTTAGTCTTAAGCCTCACCTTATGCAGTCTATTCTTAGTCTTCAGCCTCACCTTATGCAGTCTATTCTTAGTCTTAAGCCTCACCTTATGCAGTCTATTCTTAGTCTTCAGCCTCACCTTATGCAGTCTATTCTTAGTCTTCAGCCTCACCTTATGCAGTCTATTCTTAGTCTTAAGCCTCACCTTATGCAGTCTATTCTTAGTCTTAAGCCTCAGCTTATGCAGTCT